GGCCTCCCAAAGTGCTGGGATTACAGGCGTGAGCCACCGCGCCCGGCCTAGGCCTTGGGTCTTAAGTTTTCCAAACTACATCTCACAAATGTGAATCCTCTTGGACCACATGGGCTGTCCGGGACAACGATGGCTTCCCCCTGCCTGCTTTTCTCACTTACCTGTATACCATCTGCTTGTTTCTTTCCTTACAACCATCCAGGGCTCTTTCTCTTGCTCTAGTAGCGTAATCACATCTGGCTTAGAAACGGAACTTCCTGCTTAACAGAAAAGAAATGATACATGTAGAATTTTCTTAATAGAATTTTTTTTTAAACTCTGAGACCTGGTTAAACTTATAATAAATTACAAGTCAAAACAATATTGAGAAGAGGCTCCAGATAAGAGTGAGAGGATTGAGTAAGAGATCAACTATGTTTAAAAAAAAAAAAAAAAAAAGAACTTTCTTTCATTTAAACTCATAATAGAATCTTATCCCTCAAGAGGAGGTATAATTTAGTAGTTGAAAGCAGGAAGCTTCAAGCCTGATTGCCTGGTTCAAATCCTGTCTATGCCACCCACTAACACTTTGACATTAAGCAAGTCACTTGAACTCTCTGTTCTTCAGTTTTCCCTACTGTAAAACAGGGATGATAATAATACCTGTTTTATAGGATTGATTCTAATATTAAATAAGATAATATACGTAAATAGTTCTAACATTGCCTGATATGAAGTATCACAAAGTTAACAATTATTGTGTTTACTGTTATTTATTTTGCATCCTTAGACATTTACAGCTCATTTTTAGAATATTCACTCAACAGAAAAACCTACATTTCATGACCTGAAACTTTCAACTACAAAACAAGTAATGGAATGTTTGTTGAAGGCAATGGAATGCATTCACTTTAATGCTAAATTAATTCTGTCAACCCAGTCAGTATATGTAAATCATTGAGGCTTTTTTTTTTTTTTTTTTTTGAGACAGTGTCTTGCTCTGTTGCCCAGCCTGAAGTACAGTGGCATCACCATGGCTCTCTGCAACACTGACCTCCCAGGCTCAAGCAATCATTAGAGGCTCTTTTGATAGAAAAATCCAAGACACTCTTCTGCCTACAGGTAGGTCAGAAAAACAAAACCAACAAACAAACAAAGAAAATCTACAGTAATTCTGAGATCAAACATAATATGTTTGATATTATGGTTCTTGAACAATATCATTCAATGAATATACAATATTTCAAATTCAGTCCCATAGTCATGAAGAGAGAGAGGCAATTACAGAGAGGACCAGCGTAATGGAGGAGGCCACCGTGGAGTAGGCAAGTTGCAGGGGCTCCAGTGAGGTGCCTGTTTTCAACCCAACAAATCTCAAATCACTCCTTTGGGAACAAGAAGAAGGAATTCAGCTACCTCTTAAAAGATAGCCCTGAAATTCACAGTGAAAAAAAGCTGATATTCCAGAGAACAGATGCTAAATTAACTGGGGCAGAGGACCTTACCCAGTGAGATCAGGTGGCTGTAGTTCTCCAGCATCACATCCCTGTACAAGGTCCTCTGAGCAGGCTGCAGGCACTCCCACTCCTCCTGAGAGAAGTCGATGGCCACATCCCTGAATGTCACTGATCCCTGAAACCACAAACACATGTATTATGGTAAAACTGAAGAAAGTTGTTTCAAGGTGAAAGGAGAGAAAGTGAAGGACTAAACTTCAATAAAGGAGCAATATGAAAATTCTCAGAATGCCTACACATTCTTCAAGAATCCTGCTGCTGGCCTGGCATGGTGGCTCATGCCTGTAATCCCAGTACTTTGGGAGACCAAGATGGAAGGACCACTTGAGCCCAGGAGTATGAGAACAGCCTCCTGTTCTCATATATAACGAGACACATTTCCTGGAAAAAAAAAAAAAAAAAGAAGAAGAAGAAGAAGAAGAAGAAGTAACTGGCATGGTGGCATGTGCCTATAGTCCCAGCTACTTGGGAAGCTGAGGTGGGAGTATCACTTGAGCCTGGGGCTTCAACACTGTAGAGAAGTGTGATGACACTACTGCACTCCGGTCTGGGCTAGAGTGAGGCCTTGTCTCAAAAAAAAAAAAAAAAAGGTAGGTTGCATAAAATTGAGGAATGCCCTTAATCCTCATCTCATTATAGTATCAGATGATAAAACTATTTTTCTTGTCATGACAAATGATTTTTGTAAGCTGCATAAAATTCAATAATAACTGACATATTAGATTTAATCATTTTTTTCTATTTGTATATTTAAGATGGTCAGTCTCTAAGGTTTTTCCCAATTCAGAGAATTTGTAATCACCAACCACTTGTGCCCTGAATAATCTTCTCCCTGTTACTGCCCACTGTCCTCACTGATCACTTTCCTAAAAGGCTCATAAAGCAGATCACCTTGTCACACTTGCAGACTGAGGCCACTCACTATGGAATTCTACCTTAGCTACCTGGAAAGCCCCAGTCGGTGGAGAAGTTTCAAGGTGTTCCCAAGTGTGGTCAAATGCGACAATCATCTGTAACTTATCAAATCCACAAGACCATGTTTTCCTGTGGGGACCGACTTATCTAATGTTCCAACATTCTTCCTGACCAAGGACTGAGTTCAGAGCACAGACTGAATAACCTGCTCCAAGAAAACATCAAAGCCAGTAGGAAAACAGAGGTACAAATAGGAAGAGCACTGACCTTTATTTTTGGTCCCAACCTTCACTGTAATGGGACAAACTGGGGTGTAAAATAGTGGATCCTTAGGTAAGAAGTTTCAGGTTAGATAATAACAGTCACCTAACCTGAAAATCACCATACTTCAAGAAGAGAGAAATACCAACTTACATGGACCATGTTTTTAGAATTTCAAAATTGGTTAATCTTCCTTGGGCTTCTCTCCTGGAAAACAACAACAAAAAGGCTGTAAGTCAGGCTGTGTCTCAATGCTCCCAAAGCACTGAAGCAAATAACTATTTTATCCTTCAATCCTATTTCTCAACTACCCCTGCTAACACACACACTTCCAACCCTCTCCCATCACTCCCCTTTTCTCTGAACACACCCTCTCACAAATAAACTGGCAGTGAACAGGTGGAGTGTGGATGAAACTAAGCTCTCGCCTAAATTCCAGGGAACCTGCGGCACAAGTATGAATGCACAGCACAGGCATTTCTGTCTTGAAGTTGCTCAAAAGACACTCCTGCAGGAAGGCTTCCAACCAGTCCTCTACTCTTAGGATACCTACCTTGGCCTAGGACTGGGCCTCTGATCCTGCTGTAAGCAATCCTCCTGCCCTAGTCCCACTTTTCAGAGCTGAGAAGGGATCACATTATCCAAACCAGAACCTTTTTGTGAAGTCAGGACTGGGTGCAGTGGGGCAAGGCATGAAAGCTGGAAAGGATATAGAAGGAATTTCATGACCAGTGGTCAGCGTTCTGAGTTCAGCAAAAGCCAGCTGGTTAAGTACAGTTCAGAACATCCATGTAATAGAATATGAAGTAATCATTAAATGTTCAAGACATACAACTAACAGAAAAATCAGGTTACAAAATAGGATAGACAATATGATTACATTTGTAAAATATATGCATATAAAACTATTTTTTAAAAGTCTAATAGATATCAATACAAAAAAAATTTAGACAAGTGTATGCATGCTAACAGTATTTATCTCTGTATCATAGCCCCAATTTTCTTCTTTTTGCTTAAAAGTACTTCATAAGTGTGACTATGCACAGGCATTAACTTGGAATATATAATTATATTCACATGTATAGATACATACACATATATGTATCTATACACATAACACTCTATCACTTAAGTCTAGTATGATTTGCTTAGTGATTTCCATAAACACTTAGTTTATATAAGATTATTTACAGTGTCATTCCAGGTATCACAGTCTTTTGATTCTAGACTAAGTTTTCTCTCACCCTAGGCACTACTGACAATTCTTTGTTGGGGCTGTGAGGAGAGCTACCCTGTGCATGGTACAATGTTCAGCAATATCCCTGACCTCTGTTTACTGGATCTAAGTAGCACTTTCCCCCACAGTATGACAACCAAAAGTTTCTAAACATCACCCCAGCTGAGAACCAATGTTCTTTCTAGACCAATGGATCCAAACCTCATGGGTCACACACTCTTTCAATAGTCTTATGAAATGAGATATTATTCCTTCCTCTGAAACCCACATTTATTAATTTCTATAATGCTTCAATATTTTATTTCAAGAGCTTGTGGTCCCCAAGATAATAAGTGGAGTTACAGGAACTCAGGTTAAGAATTTCAGTCCTACATTCTTTACAGAAATAGAAAAAAAAAATGTAAAAATTTGTATAGAACCACAAAGAACCCCAAATAGCCAAAACAATCTGGAGCAAAAAGAACAAAGTTGGAGGCACCAAACAAATTACCTGACTTCAATATATACTACAAAGCTATAGTAACCAAAACAGCATGGTACTGACACGTAGACCAACAGAACAGAATAGAGAGTCCCAGAATAAATCCATACATTTATAACCAACTGATTTTTGAGACAGGTGCCAAGAACATACAATAAGGAAAAGACAGTCTCTTTGATACATACCATTGTGAAAACTAGTCATACACAGAAGAATGAAATCAGACCCTTATCTCAAACCATTATACAAAAATCAACTCTAAATGGATTAAAGACTTAAATGTAAGAACCCAAACTATGAAACAAATAGACAAAAATGCATGGGAAAAGCTTCATGGCATTGATCTGGGTAATGATTTTTCTTTTTGGAAAAGATGTCAAAAACACAGGCAACAAAAGCAAATATAGACAAATGAAATTACATCAAGCTAAAAAAGCTTCTGCACAACAAAGTGAAGAGATAATCTACAGAATGAGAGAAAATACTTGCAACCATATATCTGATATGGGGTTAATATCCAAAATATGTGAGGAACTCAAACAGCTCAACAGCAAGAAACCAACCCAATTTAAAAATGGGCAAAGGACCTGATAAACACATCACAAAAGAAGACATATAAATGGCAAACAGAAGACATATAAATGGCAAACAGTATATGAAAAAATGCTCAACTTCATTAATCATCAGGGAAATGAAAATTAAACTACAATAAGATATCACCTCATGTGTGTAGGGGTGGCTATTGGAAAGACAAAAATTAAGTGTTTGTGAGAATGTAGAGAAAAGGGAATACTTGAACCCTGTGAGAATGTAAAGTGACACAGACATCATGGAAAACAGTATGGAGGTTCTTCAAAAAATTAAAAAAATAAAACTACCATATGATTCAGCAATCCCACTACTGAATATATATCCAAAGGAAATGAAATCCATGTCAAAGTGACATCTGCACACCCATGTTTATTTCAGCACTATTCACAATAGCCAAGATATGGAATAAATCTAAGTGTCTATCAGTGAATGACTGGATAAAGAAAATGTGGTATATATGCAGGCATTTATACACAATGGAACAGTATTTAGCCATAAAAAGGGAAATTCTGTCATTCGCAACAACACAGATGAACATGGAGAACATCATATTAAGTGAAGTAAGCCAGGCACAGAAAGACACATGATCTTACTCATCAGTGGAATCTAAAGAATGTTTATATAGGCCTGGAGCAGTGGCTCACACCTGTAATCCCAGCACTTTCCAAGGGCAGATCACCTGAGTTCTGGAGTTCGAGGCCACCCTGGCCAACATAGCAATCACTTTCTAACTCCTGAAAGCCTCACAGAGGAATGGAAATCACCCAACCATCTCCATTCTTCCCTGCTTTGAAAAGGAGGCCTGTAAAGACAATCAGATACCTGGTGTGTGATTCCATAGACTAATCTTACCAAAGCAGAGTCTAAAATAAAGCTTTAATGTAAACATCTGGAGGTCTATTTTTATACCAGCTTAGAAGAAGAGAGCGCACAGGAAAGTGTGAACGATTTGCCAAATGGTTCTGTAAATATTAAGGGGAAAGTTGGCGG